GGGATGGGTGGGAAGACAGCAGGTCTACATCAGCAAATAGCTGCCATTATACAACCTCTGCTCAAACAAATAAAGGAGATGAGATGAGAGAGAAGAGAAATTTCGTATCTTCGCGCGGTCGTGTAATATCCACTATATCTCCCTTTCACATACATACATTATCAGGCAAACAGGCAATGAGAATACTCAAAATTATCAGGTACAAGATGTTATTTTGATGTAATACCAAGTTCTCGTATCTAATTTACAAAGAATTGCGTAGCAGCTAGAGGGGAGAATAAACAATCAGATCTTTGGAGTTAAAGGGTTAACAAGCAACAGCTACTGTTACACGGAAATTACACCATATGACTAACCAAATGTATATTCAAAGTATTGTATAAACGCAGAAGGTAAGTTTTCACTTTACATCTTCAGGGTAATCGCTCCAACGTAACACTACACTAGCCGGCTGAAAGTCTTCGCCATCTTCTGGCAATAAAATTTTTCGAATAGCGTCAGGTTGAAGTGATCGAAGCTAATTCATCAAAGAGAAGTAACATGCAAATTTGTAAAATTATTTTGATATTTTATAGTAACTACAAAACAAGTTTTCGCAATTTGACCGAGTAGGATTTAAAACTGAAATTACGAAAACTTGGAAGCTTACATGTTATCTCAGCAGATGAGAGTCCAGAACAAAAAAATATCCATATTAATTAGTCACAAAAAAAAGGTCTTACACAGTAACTAGAGAATCGGCCTCTCTACTCAAACGAAAGAGGCCTGGGGAAAAGAACACAGGCTATTCAAAAATAAACTCCATGTTTCCGAGGGTCTGTTCAGTAATAGATCACAGGTGACGTCAGAATGTGGTAACAACAAAAGAGAGGCACACGCTAGAAACTAACCTACATGGGGGACAGGGGTGGGTGGAGTTTACCCATGGGTAGCATTCTCCAATTAGCCCGCCGTAAATGTTTCTTGGATATTCCTGAATTCAGTAATAATAAACTGCGAAAACTGTGAAGTTTGCGTGTTACTTCAGCACTGTGTATTACCTTATTCATGCATCTGCCCTCCAATAGATCATGTGTAAGAACCAATCAAAATGTGTATATAATTCAGCTGAAAATAATGTGAATGTAAATTTTTTATACGTCTAGGTGAAAATTCCCCCAACGTACTTCATTTTTGCTGGAATTATTATCATTATTAGTATTATCACTATTGCTGTAACTGTTTTAGTATCATTATTATTATTATCATCGTCATGATTGTCGTCATTGACAAAGATGATGGTCATTATTGGACCTACTCGCCTCCATATAAACGAATCCAGATAGCTAATGTTTTTGTGTACTTATAAGTTAAATAAAGCAAATTTTCAGGTTTATTTAGTTCGCGAACATTTCTGCGCAATTTTAATAAAAATGCTTTCATGTTGAAGCGACGGAGGGCTCTCCCGCCGTGTCGACCAAATATCATATAAAAAATTTAAGTTACCATGCATAAGCTAAATAACATTTCTGGCCAAATCTAAGAGCTTTCCAGCAGTCTCTGTTCGTCAACTAACGAAAAGCGCATGACGGCGATTTGCGCACTCTTTGAAAGGAAAGCTGTCTCAGCCAAAATGCAGAGAAATAAATTTAGTTCTGACGGCCGAATTTGAATAAAAGGCTCTCGAATCTGCAGCAGGCCGGTCTCGTAATTACTTCATCAACATTAATCTAACAGTCGAGAGACAAGTCACCTGTCTGGCGTAGCTTTTTACCCGTTCAGACAACTCTGTTTTCCTTCGCGAAACGCAGAATGATATGATGGAGAAGTCATCTTGCAAGTCATTGCTGCAGAGTTTTCACTTAATCTCCGAAGCTGAAGACTTTTATTCAACACAGATAGCTAATTGTCTCTTTAATGGTTTTCTGACTTACCCGTGCATCATATTGAATATTGTAACAATCTAGGCTTTGAGAAAAACCTCTTCTTTGCCAAAGACTTTGAGGACATTACTCCTGGGTTTGGCTTTTTCTGATGTATGCGTTGGTTTACTTGTTCAACCTTTGTATTTGGCACTTCTTGTTGGTTGGTTACAAAAGGATATGCCTGGCTGTGGAGTCCTTCAAAGTTTCCTCTTCCTTATCAATCTGTTCAGCTGCCCACATTTCGTTCTATCTGTTGGTTCCTATAAGTGTAGACAGGTTCTTAGCCATTCACCTTCGTCTCAGATATCACGAAATGGTGACTCACAAGCGCGTTATCACTGTAGTGATCTTCATACCGCTGCTTAGTGCCTTTGTTTCTTCAATGCCGTTTTGGGTTTCGCTGAATATTTTCTACCTCTTTATGAAAATTGATGAATTTTTGGGTATCTTTATTACAACATTTGCTTATGTTAGAGTTTATGTTGCTGTACGTCGTCACAAAAATCGGATTCAGCACAAGGCGTTAGTTGGGAGCACACTCGATTGAAACGTCAGTTGGCGCGATCAAGACGGTATAGTCGGCGTATTCTAACTATATCTTGTTTTTTACTTTGTTTTTTGCCTTTCGCTATATTTTTGGTTTGCATGAGAACAATTGGCGTGGGAATCCCTATGAAAATATTTTATCTTTTCTCTGTTACTTCCATCCTTCTGAATTCCTTTCTAAATCCTTTGATTTACTGTTGGAAGAAGAGACACATTCGACGCACTGTTATAGACATAATGCGAAGCATGTCTTGGAAAAGAATTCATGTTCCTCGCGACCATCAGCTACGACCTGCCAATTGAGCACAAACCAGTGAACAGAAAGGAGTTAATGACAAGGATGGTCGACATAGTGTATCAAATGACACCAGTGAAGACAGTGTTAGTAAGAATTAGCTAGAGAAGTTCCGAATGCTGAGGGATAAGAAATACCTTTACTTCACTGAGTTTGTTGTGTATACGGTTTACTGAAAATTGAAACAACCCATAGATGTAAAACATTTTGAACAGTAAGTAGCATTTTAGCCTTATGAAAACGTTTATATAGAAACTAACGGAGACCAACATTTGCTGAGTAAGGACGTCATGGCCAACAAAAAAATTGACATCTTCGCTGAAAGTGTTGTTGTCTTCTCTTTTCTCCGCATCCAAGCCGATCAGGTTTTAATGTAACCTCTCAGAGAAGCAATATTACCAGAGCTTCTGTTCAATAAGTCTTAAATTGTTTAGCATGTTTGACTTACCTTAAAGAACATTTCAAGCACAAAAGTAAGACAGGGTATTAATCTATTGGTAGTCAAGTATTTCTTCCTCCTTCCTGAGCGGACAAGAGGCACGTTCATATCTTTGATTTGTGAGAAAAGATCCTTTCATTTCTCCACGCATTCGGTTAATGTTTTCAAACCAAACTCTCTTTTGCCATTGTGCAGCTGTTCTCTCGTGAAAACAAGCCAATCACAATTCTTGTTAGAATGGTTCAAATATTCTGACTGACCAACGAGACAGCAAATGTCAATCACAAGCTGGACTTCAGCATTTAATTTTCGATATCGAATGCGAACGGGAGAAAAATAATTTCCCATTTCACTTTTTAGCTTGCTTTTAAAATATTAAGGAGCTTAACATTTCTCGCTCGGTGGAGTCCGGCCGAATTGCGGCTCAAGAAAACGTTCACTTTTCCGCGTAAAACTACTTTTTCAGTTCCTCTTTATCAACAAAATACGAACGGAAATAGAAAGTTGGTGGACCAATTACCCTTCTTCTTGTATAACCATCTATGAAAAATGGGTAAGGTTTCGCGCGAAAACGTGATATCTTCACACGTGAGAATAACACCGTTATTATGATTACATAATAAACCGCGCCTTCGTCAGCGAAAGTGAAATGGTTGGTGTTTCATCGATGTTTACATAATAGAATATTACATGGCCGCTTGGAGGTAAGAAATTTCTCGTGTTGAAAAGTATTCCGCTCGTTCGCTCCGCTACCTCGTAAAAATGATATCAAGCACTCGAAGAGAAATTTCGTATGACTGCGCGGCCATTTAATATCCTCTATATCTCCCTAAGGTGGTTAACATTTCACTTCTCCCTACATATACATATATCATCCAACAAATAAGCAGTAAAAATTATCCGGTACAGTGTGTTATTTTGTTCTAACACCAAATTCTCCTAACTAATTTACAAGGAAATGTGTAGCAGTTAGAGGGGAGAATTTACAATCAGTTCTCGGGCGTTAGAGGGCTAGGGGGCTACAGCTACTGTTACACGTAAATTACACCGTGTGATCGAAGTTGATTCATCAAAGAGAAGTAACATGGAAATTTCTAAAATTATTTTGTCATTTTATAGTCATTACAAAAAAAAAAAAAAAAAAAATTCCGCAATTTGACAAGTAGGGATTTAAAAATGAAACCACGGAGACCTGGAAGCTCCCATGTTACTTCGGCAGATGAGAGTCCAGAGCAAAAAAGCTTCCTCATTAACTGATTACAAAAATAAGTCCTTACACAACAGCCAGGGAATCAGCCTCTCTACTCAAACAACTGAGGTCTGGGGGATAGAACACAGGCTATTCGAAAAAGATTCCATGTCACCGAGGGTCTGTTCAGTAACATAACGCAGATGACGTCAGAATATGGTAACAACAAAAGAGTGGCACGATGTACAACCCAGTGTGCCAATAATTATGGTGACATCATTTATGCGTCTGCACTCAAATAGATCGTGAGTAAGAACCAATCAAAAGACGTGTATAATTCAGCTTATCATATAACTTCAAATAACCAACTTTTCCTGAATTTAATCGCTTAGGATCACCGAAATTTTCCGAAAATAATTTGAAAGAAATTTCATTTTAAGTCCCATAAATTTTTGTTCGGGTGAAAATCCCCCTAACGTACTTCCATTTTTGCTGGAAACTAGACTACAGATAAAACGAACGGGGGAGGGGGGGGTCCCCATGAGTAGCATTCTCCTTTGCTCTTGCATACGTTTTTAGTTTAAACAATTAGACCACCGTAAATGTTTCTTAGATATCCATGGGTTCAATAATATGACTGTTCATATTAAATGTCCGTGTTTTACGCCCGTAAGTATCTTGGCGGAAGAATACACCAACGTTAAAGGTCAAATTTGAAATCAATAGAGTTTTACTGGCATTGGATGCGCTGTTGAATTCCACAATCATGGTAAGGTTTTTGGTGAATTGTTTGGTAACTTTAAGCGCGTCCAGAATCATTCCTCGTTCAGCAGCAGCGTTGACACAACGAGAACTGTTATTCTCCATGAGCTAAATGTCATCTTGTTCTTAATTTCTATAGATTTCTTTCAACATAAAAAGAGCAGTATCCTCTGAAACCCTGGAAAAAACACAAATAATCGTCAAACACTCGCGAACTCGTTTCCAGGTCTTTTAAGTGTACCTGGGGATGTTCGATACGTTTGGACGCGAGCTAGGGAGACTGGGTCTAGACCATGGAGCTGCCGGCTTTCTGATGAACCGTCTAAAGGCAAAATTTTGCCTTCTTAGGAGCTGTTTTTATAAACTTACAATGAACGACTTAAAAACATTTCTGGAAGGAACTTAGCAATAAAAGAGGAGCCAAACATAAAAATTCAAACTACGGAAGAATACTTAATTCGCTTATTTTCATTCCAGCAAGCTTCACTGCTTAGAAGAGGATCAAACGATCAAATGAAGGAGCTAACTTCACTCACCAGTAACACACGTGACTGCTAAGTGCGAACAGATATTCATTCAAACTTTCTATTGGTTTCTCTTGAAGTACGTAGTCTATCCGCTGACCACCGTTTAGTCGTCCTACTTCGACCATTTGTGCTGGGTGATCGGAGAGACACTCTGAAGGAGATATAACATAAAAAGTTAATTTTAGATTGGGTTTTAATATTCTTAGGGCGTTGGAAAACCAAAAACTTATTTATTCCCATAGAAAAATGCAACAACTGATTGAAAGTGTTAATAATGCCAAAGATACTATCTGAAAAACCAATTAATATAAAGTGTTTACTAAAAATCTCTCAAAATTTAGCCCTCTTTTCGAGTAGTTAATTGCATCAAAATAATCACTGATAAAAATTCTCAATTAGCGTTATATTGGGGAGAAAACGCGCTCAGCTGAGTCCCCAACAACAATATATCACTCCATAGTCTCTAAACGCTTATCGATTCTACAACTACTTACCTGTGACTTCAGTAGCTTCCTCTACATTAGAATCCTGTTCGTTAGGTCCTTGAGTTGAATGAGCTCGTGCAAATTCATTGAGTGATTCCCACGTTTTACGCGCAGAATCAATGAGGCTCTGCTTCAGATTAGCGCCCAGTCTTGAAAGATTCTCACGGAGTTCTAATAAAAATTTGAAAAAAATTCCAATTAGGCTGTGTGCAAAATAATGTCTGCCCTGTAAGGGCACCACATTGGTGAAGACAGTTGAATAATGCCCATGAGGTTTTACGTTGGCTCTGGCCAGGGTCCCGTTTCTCGAAAGTCCCAGTAACTTAACAGACCCACAACTGTATTTTAAAATCAAAATTTAAATGATAGTGACGTATGTCCTGGCACCTTAACCAGTTAATTTTTTTCCTTTAGCCATTAGTTTTAAAATATTATTTTCAAAAGTTTTGAAACACCCATCTTGATCGAAAACAGAACTTTTTCATTTGTTGTTGTTATTGTTGTAGTTGTGGTAGTGGTAGTGGTAGTGGTAGTGATAGTGATAGTGGTGGTGGTGGTGGTAGTAGTAGTAAAACTTGTGAGGAGCCGTCTAGCTAGGGAAAAATCCCTTACTAATTTGGGGACACTAAAAAAAAAGAGAAAAAAGACAAGGGGCTATTTACAGTAGTATATATATAACAAAGTTTAGCAGACGAAGGCAGATGAAAGCGCGCCATTAGCTACAAATGCGTATAGGTTTAATAACAAAACCCCATATACCAACTTTTGAGAGGAAATTAAAAAACTTTAAAAAGAGTTTGATTTCGAAATTGAGATAGAGAAATCATATTCCAAACTTGGGTGATAATAATAATTATTGGCATCAATTTGTAAGGCTACCATATATCGTAAGTACATGCCCACGGCACCTGCGGTGATGAAGAGAGAGACTGCGAAAGAAATACCTTCAAGCTCTTACTGGAAAAAATATTTTAATTCTCGTGATCGAATTCAGATGGCCAATCTTTAAAGAGAATTTTCACGTTATGGTAATCAGAAACCTCCCTTTGGATATTTTCAATCATTAGAATAGTTAACGTTATGCTAAAGCTTCATGTGGTCCCCCGAGTCGGCTGCTATGGCCAATTTAGTGATGAGGGAAACTTTTAATGATCATGCATATCTAATTAACACTTCTAACCAAATTTAAGACAATCCAAAGTTGTTAAACAGAAGTTTTGATTCTCCGGGCGCCTCATCGGCTTTGACGGGGAGTAAACAGAAGGCTACAATTTTTTCCAAAATTTTGTTGTCAACCATGACGGCGGCAGATGCTGCTCTCCGTTTGTTTGTTTTTGTTTAATAAATGTTTACATATTGATCAAACTGATAACGCTTTAATACTACTACTCATTGCTTAACGTGTTTTACAGATAAGTGTAAGTAACGAAATTTCTTTTCCCAAACATACAGGACTGATATTGTCTTCACTAGTGTCATTCGATGGGCTATATCGACCATTCTTGTAATTTATTCACTAACTTGTGCCCAATTGGCAGGTGGTAGGTGATGATCGCCACGATTATGAGTTCTTTTGCAAGACATGCTACGCAGTATGTCCACCACAGGGTGTCGAATGTGTCTCATCTTCCAACCGTAAATCAAAGGGTTTAAAGAAGAATTTAGAAAGATGAAACTTAACGAGAAAAGATAAATTTTTTTCAAGATGATTCCCGAGCCAATAATTTTCGTGCTGGCCAAAAATATGAATAAAGGCAAATAACAAACTAAAAACATTACATGTACATAGAATACACTGACTACTGTCTTGATCGTGCCAGTTAACATTTCGCCAGAGAGTGCTCCCAACTGAACACCCTGCCCTTGAATTTGGTTCTTGTGACGATGTACAGCCAGATAAACTCTAACATAAGCAACCGTTGTGGTACAGATACAAATAAATTCATCAATGACCAAGTAGAGGTGTCGAATATGCTGTGGAACCCAAAACGTCATCGAAGAAACAAACACACTAAGAAGCGATATGAAGACCACCACAGATACAACACGCTTGTAAGTCACAAGTTCCTGGTATCTGAGATGAAGATGAACGGCTAAGAACCTGTCTACACTTATAGCAACCAACAGATAGAACGAAATGTGGGCAAACAGATTGGCAAGGAAGAGGAAATTTTGAAGGACTCCACAGCCAGGCATATCCTTTTTTATTTCATAGATACTGAGATTTACACACGACAAAAAGCCCGCGTAAAACTAGTACGTTAAATCCATTAGCCAATAGGAAACGCGAACGATGAATTTTCACTAGTGAAAAAACGTCGTTCGCCCAATCACAAACCCGAACGACGAAAATTCACTAGTGCACAACCGTGGCCCGCGAGTTTCACTCCGACTCTTGAATCCAACATGGCTAGTTCAAGGTTTGCTTCTTTGGAAGGTTCCAATGAGACTTTTATTGAAGAACAAGAAAACCAGAACACAGTGAAGAAAACGAAACGAGACGTTGCTTTTTTCACAGAGTTCCTTCAAACAAAAGGAGAAGCACGAAGTGAAACAGTTGAAATTCCTCCCGCCGAGTACAATGAACTTTTGGGTGAATTCATTTTAAGCGTTCGCACAAAAGAAGGACAAGATTACGAAAAAGCATCAGTGGAAGAGAATCAGAGTATCCAGCGACTTCGATGATGACTAAGTTATGTACACTGTAAGTTTTCCTTGAATTTTCATGAAAGTTGTAGACAGTTTTTGACTGATATCGGTTAAGGTTTGCATTGCGTTATTCAGCGTAAAAGCGTATGACGCTGCGTGTTTTCACGATTTAGTGACATTCTGATTTACGACATTTATGACTTGTAAATCTAAGTCAAGTTTTTTTCTCTAAAAGTTGTCATTTACGTCTATATATTTGGAATTGTTATCTTCATTAAACATTTCAAAAGACAAAGACAACTTTATATTTTAGTTTATAATAGCAATTGAATGGGTTTTCTAAACATGCGCGCCCAAACTGATAAAATTGACCAGCAATTTGTCTTTTCAAAAATCTCAATATCTATAAAATAAACAAATTCCACCATGGTACTCCTCAACTCGTGAATAAAAATCGTACGCCCGCATTTTCCATGGAGTAATCTCTAAGTAACCAACCAACAAGAAGTGCCAAATACAAAGGTTGAACAAGTAAACCAACACAAACATCAGAAAAAGCCAAACCCAGGAGCAGTGTCCTCAAAGTCTTTGGCAAAGAAGAAGTTTTTCTCAAAACCTGGATTGTAACAATGTTCAACATGATGCACGGGTAAGTTAGAAAACCGTTTAAGTCACAATTAGCAATCTGTGTGAGATAAAGGTCTTCAGCTTCGGAGAGTAAGGGAAAACTCTGCTGCAAGGACTTGCAAGATGACTTCTCCATCATATCGACCTGCGTTTTTAACAACGAAAACAGAGCCGTCTGAACGGAACAAAAGCTACGCCAGATAGGCGACTTGCACGCCTAAAATCCTGTTTTATTAATTCTGAATCTATTATTAAATCTGATGTAGATTCTAAAGCCTATAATATTCGACGCCATCTGCCCAATTTATACTAATTTCTTTGGCTGAACCAGCTGGAGCATAAAAGAACGGTAGGAGGTTAATCGATGCGTAGTCGAGAATTTGTCCCTCTTTCCTGAGTGTTCGACCGCTTCCAAAGCATAAACGAGGCTCCTTTATTTCTTTGATCCATAATAAAGAATCATTAATTTCTTCACGTATTCAGCCAATATTTTCAATAGCAAAAGCGGTGTAAGCGGGTAACTGTTCTTTGAACACAAGCTTATCTAGGGAAGAGATAGCATCTGTCAATCACAAGCTGGACGTGAGCACTGAACTGTCGGTTTCGAATGGCGGCGGGTGGAGAATAATCGCGTCACAATTCACTATTTAGGTTACTTTTAACAAAAGGAAGTTAAAGTTTCTTGCCCAGCGGAATTTGCCCAATTAGTGGCTGTTTCGTTCCCCGGCTACCATAAACACAAGACCTTTAGGGTAAAGGACACGCTTTTATTGAACCACGTGCGCTCTCGTCACGATCTGTCTGATTTATTTCATTGCGAAAAGATAACATTGACTACTGTATCATGTGTCACCTAAGGTGCACGTGATCTCAGAGTGAGCTCTCGTCACAGTGGCTAAAGAAAACGTTCACTTTTCAGCGCACGACTACTAATTTCAGTTCCTCTAAATCAACAGGCCGGATTTTTTTCAGGTCTGATTTTCGCTATTGCTTAAATAGCGCTATCTACTGCGAGGATCGTGCATCATATGTATCTAATACCGCAGTACAAAATATATGAACTTCATATATTTCATTGTATCTCATTTATCACTTTCACGGGTTTACTACGAATCAACTTAACGGCCTGCTCCCAGTTGGCTTGTTAGCTCAATTGGTAGAGCGCTGCACTAGTATCGCAGAGGTCAGTGGTTCGAATCCCGTACAGGCCGGATTTTTTTCAGGTCTGATTTTCGCTATTGCTTAAATAGCGCTATCTACTGCGAGGATTGTGCATCATATCACGACGAAAGTCTCATCGAAGAAGAAAGCGGTTATCTTGAACACGAAGTAAGGAAAAAGGATGTGGCGGATGCTATTTTCGAAATTTGACTTTAACTTACTCATTCAATATTATATGATGGGCACAATATTTGCGAACATGTTACAAATGACACGCTAGGGAAAATTTAAAATCACCGCGCTGAGGGAAATGTGTGCTTTTTTCGACAATTCTTTCAAAGGCAGAGATTTGAAGGCCACCTTACTCAAAAAGCTTGGTGACATGGTAACGAATGCACATGTTTCCAAGAAATTTAGGATGGCTATCTTTAACTCTATGCTTCATTCCATTTCATGACTTTCGATTGCTGCATTAACTAGTTTTGAGGTTACTTTTGTCGCACAAGAACGTTGAGGACTGTAACAACATAAAATCTCTAGTGATGGCGGCAAATGTTCAGAAAGGAGGGCCTTTTGATTACATACCGTGTGCTAAACCTCGGTAGAAACTGCAAGAATTCTTGCAGAAGGTTGTTTTGTAAATAACACCGTAACGTACATGTATTTTAACTTATGTGTCCTTTTGAGCTACACAGTATGTCTGCAATGACCAGAATTAATTTTATTCTTCTCCACCTTATACGTGGCTCTTGACCTGATTCAAGGAAAATTATCGAGAAAGCACCTTCCGATCACCTTTGTTTACTTTGAAAGTCATGCAAGCGTTACGAGTGATCATGTTTGTGCACCGCTTTAGGACAACACGCAATTTATTTTCTATCCAATTATTATGAAAACCTGAGATACTTTACGTAGAAGTTAAACAAACGAAGTTTGAACGGTCAAAGACATATCTTAGTCTTTCTTCAGAATTGTGCAAAGAAGCTTCGACACTTGCGTGATCAAGTAAAGACATTGATTTGCGTTGTTTTCAAAATGATGGTGGATGAAAGCTAGAGAGTTACCTGCAGGTTTGAGGCAATCGGTGACCTCATTGGTGTATAAACTATCCTCCGATGTGTTATTTTAGCCCGATTTGCGCCTGCATTTTGAGAATTTTTTCTTTTAAAATGGTTAACTTTTGATAGGCAAATTAAGGTCAAAGGGAAGGATGTCTTCTGATCATGCTGATATGAAAAGGATTTCAAGTGAAGTTTTCATATTTTGTCTATGAACTGACTGAATATAGCTTGTAACTTGAAGCAAGAGAGAATCTCATGAGCTACACTATTACGGTCGCAGTGCGCTCGATAAAAGTTGTGAAAACCTCCCCCCTTTAAGTTTCTTCCTCTTAAGGATGAAAAAAATAAGGATTACTAGATGTTGTTAGAGAATTTTTTTTAAAAGAGTCCCGAATAGAAAGCAAAGGAAAGTGACATCACCAAGATGCATTCGTTTCCTTCCCTTGTGGTGTGGCATCAATACAGGGTTGGCTCGAACAGAAGGATTCACTAACGGTTCGATTCGGTATGCCTGCGATAAAGACAAGTTGGTTAGATCTATGGTATTCGTAAAGCGTGCGAACAGGCCCTTATTATTAGCGCTGCAGGAAAAGCGTTTTTCCGCTCGCTTGAAGATTTGAGTCAGGAAGAAGTTGGCCGGGGGTCTAGCACTAGTGTCAGTATTAGACCCCCTGTAGACCTGTCTCCGCCTCGCGTTGCTCAACGCCTCATGGACCCTTATACTTCCCCGCGGGCAAAAATCACCCTTCTGCTCGCAGGCTAACATCCGTATGACAGTCTACAAGAACGTAATTAACAAAAGCAACTTTCAACTGAGTGTCGACAGCAATGCAGGAATCATTTGGTGATGGTTAATTTCGCTCTACAAATAGTCTGGGAAAACTCGTACCAGTCTCTCAAACAATTAGAGGCAAACCTATTACCAATGGCGACTTAGGCGCTAGCGTTTTCAGGCGCCTGAAAGCACTTTGTCCATTTTCTCTAGGAGTTATCATTGGCTCTCCACGATATTCACCATTATTCTGATCGACCACTGCTATTACTTTGCCGACTTAAGGTTTTTGACACTCCACTGAATACTGCTCTCAAGAGAGCCACATCACACTGAATGTATTGAGCTTACCACAGGATCAAACGGATGAAAGATGTTAAAGAGACGTGGACATGTGGGCAGCTGAAAGTCCTGTCCGATTTCATCCACACCTCTGTAAAAAGAAAAATTCGTCACTTTAGACTGAAAATAGAAACAGCATTGATGATATCATCAGTTACGCATTAGTGTTATCAATAAACAGTCTCCACGGTCTAAAAAATCAAATATAACAATTCGTTTCTTGTGAATATACAGAGGATGTAACCTTTTTCCTAATTATAAAAATTGTTATTTTTTACAAATGAGGTCGCATTGATCCAAAAAGGTGGCAGTAGCCTGCGAACCACCCCTCATTATTAGAGCTTCGGAACGAACATTTCTTCGCCCGCGAAACGTGCGTCCTGCGGCAGCGCTAAATAATAGGGACCTTAAGAAACCACGACGGCGACGGTAACGAGGACATGGAAAAACTAGAGATCTAATTGGCAGAACAATAGCTCAGGACGTGCGTTTGAAACTTTGTACATTTCTTAGCCGTCCTATGCAAAACAACAACGTGAAATCGCCAAAATTTGCGTCGTCTGCGAACCGAAACCGCGACGGCAAAATATTTTAATTTCCATTTGGAACTCAACGGTTACTTTATACGTCATGCTGAAGTTGAGCTGTGGCGCTGTATGAGACAGTAAGCTCCTGCAGCCGTTTTTGAAATTCTAACTAAGAGTAGAAATTCATTTTTTTTATCGAAGTCTTTCTTGGCGTCGCCGTCGTGGTTTCTTAAGGTCCCTAATGTATAACGGGGTCCTTCTCTCAGGCTACCTCCGGTTGAGAACCTTTCTCACCTCACGGTCAAAAACATTCCGATGGGAGAGCCCAGAGCGAACAATGCGTAAAATTTCAAATCCAGTTGCGGGTATTCTACGAAAGGCTGTCCAGTTCCCGCGAGTCCTTGTTGATAAACAACTTCCACACTCGACACAGAAGCAACAGATAGAGACTTGCTTGTTGCTAAGTCTGCTCGGGCCAAAACAGTGGATGGCGTCATGTCCACCACGGAACTTGCCTTCTCCTTGGTAGATTCTTTTAACTTTTTACGTTCGGATTTTGTTTTCGCTCTCGCTTCTGCTCTTGCTTTTTTATTCTCTTCTCTCTCGAGTTTTCTTTTTTCCTATAGAATTGAAGAAAGATAAGCGCTTTTCGAAAGAATGCAAAAAGCGTTACACAATTCTTCGTTAAATTGGAGACAGAAAGCCTTTAATCGATCGTCAAGAGGCATTTGAACCTATTTCTTTGATCCACTCTTGGCCTTTCACACGTCTCAAATTCATACATTTTGGCGAAGCAATCACATACAAGTCCAGGTCGACATGACTTTGCTTTGAGTCAGTTCAATTTGAATCTTTCATCTGTATGTGACCACATCACCGTATCATTTGCGTTACTCCATACTCGTTTGTTACCAATGACTGACGCAAAGTTTTTTCACCAATCAGAGAGAAGATATTGCCTTCCCAACCAAATCCAAACTAATCATGCGACTTTTCCCGCGTTTTCATGGCCTTGAGACTCGATACTAATTTTGCTTTCCTAACAATCATAAATAAATACAATGATAGCTGCAGAGAGCTGACTGAGAACCGTGGTGTAGAATGAAAACCTACCATAATCGATTTCTGATTTCTTAGGAAGCCCATCAATTTCTTTCTGGGTCCCATGGGTATTCCCATTTCCTTGATGTCTTCCTCGCCGCACAGTAACTGCGGAAAATCAACCACCCTAACATCAGTATGCATATTCTCCATACGGTTCTCTGAAATTTCCTGAGGTGCGGGCGCGGAGAATTTGTTTAAACAATCAAGAGCTTCTTTAGCTGGTGATCATTTCCTTCATTCTCGTGACATTAAAGCATGATTCAAGGGTAATATTGTAAGAAGAAATTAGATGCTGGTCACTCTTGGGATCGAGGGGTTAAACTGAAGTCACTCTTTACTGGAAATGACGTCGAAATTTCAGAGTCGTTAAGAGACACGCAAGAAAAAAGCTATTAAGACAAATAAAAGGACTGCAGCTGAAAAGAGAAAACACTCAGTTTACATCCAAGAGAAGCGGATAACTAATCTTTTGAGACGCAGAAGACTGACTTGTTCATTGTAGGATTTTGTGCAAACAAACAAACAGAGGAATGACATTATTTGATGGTACACTTTATACCAATTTTGAATCAAGTGTCGAAAGTAATCAGGGTTTGCATTGGTTTTCCTTGTTTTGCTCTGTGATTGGTCCAGAAAACACGCGCCACTCTCTGAACCAATCAGATGCAAAACTAACACCAAACACGTCTTGGTCGACTGCGTTTTCCTGCGTTTTAGACAGTTCAGTTGTTTTTGCTTTAAGTTCTCATTGGCTCTTCAGGTTCTCATTGGTTTTTCTGATTGGCCATTTTGGTTTTGGTTTTATGAAACTCAATCGAAAAGCGCTCCGAAGTCAAGGTAATATTGAATCGACTTTCATTTCGGGCAAGCATACATGTATCATGGACAAGTATTTATTGCTCGATAAACTTACAAATGTCTCCATGTCCATCTCTTCAGACTCAAACAAGTCGATGTATTCAGGTAGACCGAGCTGTGCTAGCGCATCTCTCAGAGCTGGGTACGACTCAGCTTCTTCATCACCTGAATGCTCATCTGAATCTTGTCCTTGGTCGTTACTATCGGTTGCGAGGCCATCTGTGCTTAAAATCTCACTGGAAAAAAAATAATCAAAGAAGATTTGATCCAAATTTGACATAAAAAAAAAACAACAACAACGCCAAAATGACCCCAAATGTCATCAATACCAGCTGATTTTTATCGTTAGAACAACTATTACGAACTTACATGGAAAAAAAATGAAAAGCTTACCTTGCTTCTTCAATCAAAGGTTGCTTTGGTAAGGGCATTTGCTTGTGCTGGTCTTTCTAAAGTAAGAAAAAAGGACAGTTGTTTGTACTTCCTATCCCAAATAACAACGACTTTCTACAGAGCTGTTTAGAAACAGTTAAAAAAAAAATGATACCAATTTTCCTGCGCTAGGGCCAGTGATGATGGAAGATGCTATGGCCCAATGGTTGGTGAGCTGGACTCCAGGTCAACAGGTCTGGGTTGGAGACCTGGCTGGGTCAATATATGTTGTGTTCTTGAGTAAAAGACTACTCTCACAGTGCCTCTTTCCACCCAGGAGTAGAAATGGGTACTGGAAAATTGACAGAGAAGCCTGATGAAATACTGGAGGGTAACCTTGCAATGGACTAGTATCCCATCCTAGGGGGGGGGGAAGTGGTAATTTACTTCGAGTTGCTCCATGCTAAGGAAACCAGGATAAGCTGCACGTGGGTGGGGCAACTGGCTTGAATACAGACTTCAGGCTGGTGACAATTTCTGGTACCAAACAAACTCACTTACCTGATGTTGAAGAATATCAAACAGAATACTTGAACCTGAAAGGAAATCAACATACTGATTACTTTGTTTGATTTCTGCTTGTTTTTTGCTAATTAGACAGAGAGGATCAGTCAACAAGTCTTAGGCATTTTGAAGCTATAGCAGTGATGTTATTTTGTTTAATCCTTACCTAAACTGTGTCCACAGACTGAATATTTTCCATTAAACATTGGATTCCTTTTCTTGAAGATTTCCAACAATCGCTTGATGTCGTCACCTACTGTGTTAACGATGTTCTGCACAGAAAAAAAAAAAAGGAATAAAAAAGGGCCACACTTAATAAAATCTTGTTTCACTCAGTTCAGAACTTGTCAGTGTACAACATGCTTGGATATGCAAAGACTAATCTCCCACACGGGTTACCATCAAGTATTCTGCCAAAATTTCATTGCAGTCTGTCAAACTTTATTACACCAAGGCAAATATAGACAATGGCATAGTTAATCTTTTTTTTTAACCCAAGTTTCCAACATAAAATGTGGAATAAAAGATACCTTGATTCACTTACATTACTTTGTATCACTTTAAAACATACCCGTAAATGTATGTACACATGCCTTGTTAAGTAGAAACTTCAAGTATTCTGTCGGCTTTTTAAAGTCACTGACATTCCATAAGTAGTCACCCTCACACACACAACTGTATATCTTTCAATGAATTGTGGAGTATCTTTTTAATGAAAAATTGTAAAGAAACATACTTGACAATATGTAGGGCTTGTGTAAAAAAGAATGTCAACAAGGGTGGAGTTTGTAAACTCTCTGAGGCGACGTATGCTGCCTAAGGATATGGACTGAAGTCTTCTGCAGATGTGAAACAATTAAAACAGTTTTAGGATTATTATATAAATATGTAAGAAAAAAACTTCAATGAGTAAAAGATTGGAAAGCTCTCTTCTTATTCCTAAAGCTGTATCAATTTTAAACTAACAACTCTTTCCTCAGAATAGATTCAGCAAAAAATGTTGGGTGAGACTGAGTGACATGCATTAAAAAATAATAAGGATAAGCAAACTTACTCATCTACACCAGTAGAATCATTGTGAAGTTTTGAGTGCCACTGAACAGGAAGAAACTCTACCCTTCCAATGGTGCAGCCTCTGGACAACTCTTCATGATGATCAAATAGCATTTGAAGACTGACTCTGCGCAGATCATCAACTACGATTGCCAGAAAGAAAGTTAGTAAGTTTAGTTGGTGTTAACATCAGCATCCTAAATGCAGGGTTTCAATAAAAGTTGGTTATCAGACAGCCACCTTCAGTACCTCTCAGGTATTGAAGTGATACAGTTTTATGTGAAAGAGTGGTCTGACCATCTGTGTGAATGCAGTCATGAGAAGGACTGTTGTCGGTGGTGGTGACTGATGTTTCGAAAACCTGCGCAAAAGTCATCATCAGAGTCAAGTAGTTGACACAACTACTACCAGCTCCATACACGTGACTCATTCACAACGTTAACATTACAAATAAACCAAACAGAACAACCTTACTTTACTGATGGATCGAAACAGACCAATCACAACCAACTTATGCCACTTGAGTCTTATAGCCAATAACATCACAGCAAAACTGACCAATCATTTTACATGAACTGGACTTAGAATATTCTACTGACAACATCTATTCACTTGACTCTGATGATGACTTCTGCACCTGTAGGTTGTCGAAATGTCAGTCACCACCACCGACAACAAGTCCTTCTCAGGACTACACTCACCCGGATGATCAGACTACACTCACCCAAACAATCACACAACACTTTCAAGAGTTACCCCCAGGTTCAAACCATTTGCTGCAATACAGTTTTAGTAACTTCATTAACACCAAGGAATGCCTTTACTCATTAACAAATGGTCCATTTGTAATGAAAAAATTTAAAGTTCCATGATCAATTTGTGGAATTGCCAATCATGTTTCGTCAGTACAATATTCTTAAGACATTTCAAGAGGAAGAGGTGTACCTGTTTAAAAAAATTGGCATGAAGACTTCCTGCTCATACAAAAATGAATGAAAATCACCGTATTTTGGTACCAGTGATTATTGTGTGTAATTCAAATATTAAGAATCTATATAATTTGAGTCTCCAGTAGCTCAGTGGTTAGAGCATCCGACTAGATCACGGAGGGTCGTGGGTTCAAGTCCCATCTGGGGCTCTGATTTTTCTATTACACTAAAAAAAAAATTGTTTCATCTTTATATAATTTATAAGGCAGTTTAAAACTAAAAACACCCAAACTGTTACTCAGGTTTGTTAGAGAAATGCAGTGCTGTGCTCTTTATGTAAATGTACCCACCACATTCAATAATATTCCTAAAGTTCAGATCAGCAATGGGCCCAATACCATGGACAACAAATATCAGATGGTCAATTTGAGCAGGTTCACCTGAAAAGGAAGGCCAATTTAACAAAAAATGAGTGACATACCTATGGTGATACTATCAATTATATTACATACGAATAATGTTCACAACATTATTATAGACATTAATAAAAAAATGTGGGGAAAATCTTATTATGCAGGCTTCAAAAGTGCACATACTCATAAGAACTCTATAAAACCTAAAAAAAATAGCTAAAAAAGTGTAGCAAAGGCAAGGCTTCATGTTTCATAAAATTAATGAGTTCTGTAAAGTTACATTTGGACACCACAATACATTTACAATGAGATAACATCTACACAATCAACACAATTGATTCACACACTGACCATCACTGATTTCATCCTCAATATCTGTCACCCCTCGTCTAACCACCTTTGGCCTGGCTATGATGTCCTCCCCACTCCAGTTCTGGGACTCATTATTTGGTACAAAATGTACCATAACATTTGCATTATGCATCACAACATGCTCTCCATCTGATAATTCCACTCTACATGGCCATTTAGCCTCACGAAATCCCAAAAGAAACTCAGCCTGAAATAAATTGACAAAATTAAAGGTGCACTCTGGACTATGTCTCTAGAGATATTTTAGATATCTGAGCACTGCAATTTTGAACACTACATTAGATAAAAAATTATCCTGATGGGAAAATTAAATGTCATACTGTTACTTGACGTATTATCAGATTAAATGTCTTGTGCTCCATGAAGGCACTCATGGGTTTTCAAGTGCATTCAAAATTACTGTATCTACCAAAAATTCAAGAAGTGATGAATAGAAAGTGGGATAAGAAAGAGCCCACTAAATGCCATGTAATTTTTAAGTCATCAAGCTGACTTGGGTTGGGTACAAAATAAGTAAGGCCATAATGGAAAACTCATATGTGAACAAAATGACAGACTTGCCTTAGATCAAAGTAGGATGAAGCATTTATATGCTACTTAACATATACATATTTGGACAAACACAATACCTCAAGCCTAGCTGCTGTATCCTCTTTGTAAGGCACAAGTTTGGACTCTCCATCTCCTTTGTGAAACCAGCTGCATCTTCTTACAACAGACACATCTTCCTCCCAGTAGAGAGGGTACCGCAGCCTTTTGTCAAGGTTCACATCATATCGACCACCATCAGTGGCAATGAATCGGTCACCACTAGCTGAAGAAGTTTTATATGCCTGCTCTAAGTTCTCAGAATCTATGTATGAGAATGGTCTCCAGGAAGAATTTCCTTTCTGATAAAACCAGTGAGGTTTGACAGGTTCAACTGTAGCGGGTGTTGTTACACTGGGTGTAATTCCACTTTGCACTTGCCGAGGAGACATGGAACTGCTGTACTGATATGAAGGTTGAGGTGAGGGGTAAGGCACAGAAGATGGGGATGAGGAATAGTACAGACCTGCAGCAGTTGGTAGAGTCTGGGGTCCAGCAGTAGATGATTGAGATTGGGGCAGACTGCCAGAAGGAAAAGGTGGAGTTTGAGGCAAATTACTGGTTGTGGGTGGAGATTGAGACTGGGCCCAACTAGCTGTCATCCCAGGTGAGGACTGAGGAAGAGTAGAAACTGCTTTTGGTGGGGTCTGGGACCCAGGCCCCACAGCTGGTGAAGTCTGGTATGGTGATTTGCTAACAGGAAGTTGAGGACTGGAAAAAGTTTCAGCTGTACCATGAGTTGATGTTTGTGGTGAGAGAAAGTCATCAGGACCAGATGAGGAGGAAGATGCCATAGTAAAGAATGGTGATGTTTGGGTCTTTACCTGTGATGCTGGAGACTGAAAAGGGGCTGGAGCCTGCTGTTGAGTCAATGGCTGCTGACCAAGAAAACTGTCTTCTTCACCTACATGTTCCAGGGCAGGTGTTGCTACAGGTGAAAAGCAGAAGTAAAGATACTATACAAATAAAATTAATCAGCATGTAAAATCAAGCTATGGCTATCTGTCCTATATTCTCACCGAATTTCCACCATCAAACTTTTCCAGAGAATCAAATATTTGTTAAGAAATGTCAAGCTATTCTAAAAATTTCTTTGGCTTTCAAATCAATATCTACAACCCTCAAATTGTAAGCAGCTAAACTGAAAATAGGACAACAAATCGGGTGTTGTGCACCAGCTGGTGACTAACTTAACAAAATATAAATTAAGAAACATTTCCTTCTTAAGAGTTTCTTACTGCTGGGGAAAATAATTTTGGTAAAAGGTAATACTGAAATTAAGCGACCACTATGAGCGAGAGCAGTTACTGATGGCTGTTGTCAGTTGGCAGCTAGCAATAGAGGTAAATGCTGAAATTGCTAACTCAGACTACAGACCCTGAAACTAATGCTCTCGTCAGCAATGTCCCCACTCAGAGTAATAGAGGAAGTAAATGTACCCCTTCTAATGTCGCAAAAGAAAAGAACATGCACGAATCCTACTTGAAATAGTTGATGAAGGGTTACAGCATCCAAAATAAAAAAAAAACCATCATCACGATGTGAACTTAGTCACACGAGAATTGCCTGAATTAAATGGTCATAACAAGTGCGACACAATCAACAATCATTTTCGTACGTATGAAACAACATGCAAATGACACGATAAAAAAGATCGATGAAAACCTTCCATCCGTTTGCAACAGCACGAAAATATATTTCTAGCCATTACGTACGCAGAGGATGAGAATTATGAGTCTGGCCAATTTCGTACTCAAAGCAAGGTCAATGATTTTTAGGTCTGAATCAAAGAAAAATTGAAGCTGTAAGTTTAAAACCCTAAAACCGAAACACATTACCTCTACTGGTGGTCGGTGCAGCAGTAGTTTGATTTCTTAACGAAATTGGGGAAGAATCGGACGCTGGCACAAGAGTCGGTCCAAAGTTCAAATTCCCACCAAAGTTAGCCAGAGATATCCCGTGCAATGGCGTATGTTTTTGTGATGAATCAGAACCTTGTCGGTCCGCCATTTTGAAGATGGACACGTCAGAACAATGTGGTGAGATCGCGGGCTCGAAAAGAAGCTCCAGCCTTAGCGCGCATTGCAGACCAAATCAACCAAATTTGCTTTTGAGTTCTACTGTGACAAGAGGCATATCTGAGTTTTGGTGGAAAACATATGGAGTATGATATGATTAGCCTCATATTGGGACTCCATTTCCAAAGAACTTACCGAGCAGATTTGTTCGTTTTGATCAAGATCAGAAACATACAGTGGAGCCTCCATCCAGGTTTCACGAGTTCTGTAACGATTGATGAGTTACAAAACGAAGCAATTATTATCGGACATCTTTTCGTTTTCCTACCTTCGAATCGGCTGTAAGTATTATTTCAAGCAGCTAGATGATGTATGAAAACAATAGTTAACATAAAGCTCTGCGATTTGTGTATTGGATTCCCACAACGTGCATTACATCGATGTAAGAGAACGCACAAGGTACATTTCAGGTTTAAGAATAAGTTTCCCTTTGCTCTGAATGGCATGGAGTTTTCCCTTTCACAGAGGTAAACAAACACAAAAGTTACATGAATAAACTTCCTGGATCAAAGTTTGTCTCCTGAATGGAGGTGTCCTCTGAATACGAGGCAACTATCTACTCATGAAAGATGAAAAGTTTGTGCAGTTTTTCTTAGGCAGAATAACTAGTCATTCTATGTGAATATGTACATGAAAGACGCTGTATTAATTTATTGGCGAGCGCTAATGGAAAACTCGGCGCGCGCGAGTATATTGAGGTTCGCAAGCACGAAAAAAGTCCTACGAGGTAACTTGGAAAATGTTTGCGCACATTACCAGATTTCTCGGCAAAAACTTATACCACTACATCAAGGTGATTCCCCAGTTTAATGAAAAAAATCGAAGTTTGAGGCAACCGTTGTCTTACGCGAGCAACAAGGTGGTGAGTAGATGACGCCGAACATCAGGTGTCACGTTGTAACGGTTTTTTGTTCCGCGGCATCAGAGCAAAGTCATATTTCTAGTTTTTGCTTAAGATTACAGTTGATAGATTTGGAATATAATCTAGTTGAGGATATGAAAAACGATGATGATATAGAACACTCCACGGTAAGTTGACCTGAAAACTAAAAATAATTGAAAGGCCTACGACATTGACACAGAAACTGAGCTTTTGAAGAGGAACCGATTCAAATTCTCGTCCGATTTGAAAGGCCCTAGTCAAAAATACATTTATGAGATTGTGAAGTAGAATTTCCTCTAAAAATTAATTTTGCTTTTATCGTTGTCGTTGCTTCCGCCTCTGCTGCTACTATTTCTGTTGAATAGCAATGACTGCAGTGAATGGTATTTGCCTTACTGTTGTGCACTGGATAAAAACGGCACCTGACTGAGTAAAGCAAGGAATATCTGATGATTCTTGAATTTCATTAATTCGGTATTTTCCTGTCCTAATCCATTTTACAATTGAAGTAAATACTCGAGTAACTCGTCTACCCTCGAACAAACGCCACCTTCCAATCAGATGAATGCCACGTTAATTCATGTTTTATGACAGTAATATTAAAAAAAAACAACAACAACAAACAAGCAAACAGAATAAATAAATTAAAGAAAAGTACGATTCGATTTGGTGTTAAATCTGCACCATCGTTGTTTTACATATCACGAGTCCAACAACTATGATTCTATCCCAAAATAAGGCATGACACTGGAACTCGAAAATTGTTCCGCTTAATGTAATATTCACAAATGATTTACTGTGATAAAAAGTAAACGTACAACAAATAGCTAAATAAATTTAGTTTATATCTACACAGCCTTTATCGATTGAATGCCTCAGCTTAAGTAGTATGGGTTGCTCTACACCAAGCTGTCGAATTTGTAAGTCATCCAGGCGATCTGAACAGGAATTGGGGGAGCTCCTTGCTAGTCCCTGTGATTGCAGGGGCAGTCTTGGTTTCGTACACAAACATTGTATGGAGACCTGGCTACACGTGCGCAAGCAAGACACCTGTGAATTGTGTCATTTTAAATTTGAGACCAAGAGGAGATACAAGCCATTCCGTGAGGTAGGTAGGCTGGGGTCTCAGTCTGTATTGCACATTTATTATTATGATCATGCGAAGTTGGGATGGCACCAACAGGGCGAAGAGCTGTTTGCAAAGCCGCCTAAAAATAGTAATACTAACCTCACTAGAGGGTCATTGTTAACAAAGTTTAAAAGTTGGATAGTAGGAGTAAAAAGCTGTTGTAGTTCTAATAGGAACAAATACAAAATTCAAAACAAGGAATGCAATACAAAATCATGTCCAGAACACAGACTAACTTGTTGTAAAAAGAGCTAAGCCTTGATATTTCTTCATAAAAAATCGTCAGCATACAACAATAGTTTGTGGTTGAAAATATTCAAATAGGTTTAACTTAACCCTTTACACCGTAACATCAGTGTCTGTTCTCTACACGTTTCCTTTGGTGCTGACAAGGATATTTCGGTTAAACCATCAAAACTTCTCAGATTGGCGACCATTTCCTTTATTCTCCCTCTTAATGAATTATTCAGCAGTATTAAGGGTTAAGTGTGTTATAAAACTCTTTTTGAGTCATGCTTGTACCTTGCCATCAAAATCGCACAAATCATGTAAAATATGGAATTTGATACAAATAACAATATTTTTGTTATATTACAGTGGCAGTTTATCCAAGTGCTAGATATGCTTAACAACAACGAAAAAGGCGTCCTTATGCTGGGATTTGTAAACTTCTTGTTGCTCATTCTCGAGATTCCCTTTCTCTACTACGTGTTCAAAATGAACAGCAAGTATTTTGCCAATCATATAAATAGCTTTGATGAAAGCCAAGACGATTCTTCCGGAGTCAGCGCTCTTCTTCTGGCATTGTTGTTGTTTTTCTCGATAGTATTGTTTGCGTCCTCTATCATCTTTACTGTATTTGGTTTAAAGATATTGCGTAAGGTTTTGGGGTATAACACAGAAGTTATGTTAATCATTCCCATGAGGCGTTTGGAGGAGTCGATGGAAGAGGAACATGTTGTGTAACTCTGGCAACCAAAAAACAGGCCGTGAACTCGAAAAGCTTGCGTTAAAAAATTCAATATCTGATGAACTACAAGAAGTAGGAATGTTTATTTAAAAAATACACGAATACTGCAAATGCACTGAAGTATCGTTATGTCTTCTTAAAAAATCAAATTGTACAGTTTAAGTCCGTAAGAAATCTCGATACCACCTTTTGTTTATCGTTTCCTGTTATTTATCTACTTATTTGCGATGCAAAACATGAACATCTCTGAGGGAAGCGATTTTTCTAACGAATGCTGAATATGAAGCTAGTTATTTCCATAAATTATTTCACTTCAAAATTTCATATATAATCATTAAGTTTCCCATCAAACCGTCCTTCACGCTTGGCCTCTTATTATCGAGCACGGTGCACCAACCCCTCTTTTCTCGGTCCTTGCATGTAAACAGGCTCATGTAGGTTCCCAGACCTTCTAAATATATGGGTACAAGTCTAGACTCACTTCGTAACCTGACGAAGAACATTTTTAAAACGTTTCAAAAATGTTACAAAAAATATATTCAACGCCACTACCATGGTATATCCTCTTGGAAACTCCTTCCTCGAAAACGCCTGTAATAAACGTTGTTATAGACCCCTCCTGGGGTACCTGTAGCTAACATTGCCCCATACAACGTCCCATCAGGCCGAAGAGCTATGGCCAGCCCAACCACAAGACTTGATTTTACTTCTTTCAGAGAGGCTCCCGTTGATCTGTTTAGGTGGAACACTTTTCGAGCTGCTGTCAGAGACCATACTCCAAACGGTTCAAAACACACCTGCATGGGGATTGGGAGAAGAATCACTTAAAGGACTGGTCAGTTAACGCCCGGCCTAACAAGCTTATTAGCTACATATACCTGATTGAGAGACTGACTAACTATAAAAATGACTGACTCAGTAAATGTAAGACAGACATACGAACGGAGTGATTGACTGACTGACCTACTATGTGAGGGGCTGACCGGCTGACTCTCGACCAACTGCCTGGCTAACTAAGTGACTGACCGAAAAACCGACGGAATAATTGGCAAACATAATGACTGACTGGGGGAATATCTAGCTGAATGATTAGGTGACTCGCTCACTGACCAAGAAACCGTCTGACTTACTCAATGGCTAACTTACTGATTAACTGACTAGCTGCCTGATCAGCAGACCAAGCGTCCAAGTGAATAGCTGGCTGACTGACTAACTAGTAAGTAACTATCTGGCTGACTGACTAACTAGTAAGTAACTATCTGGCTGACTTGCTTTTTGGCTAATTTACTCAATGATTGACTAGCTGAGTAAATGATTGGCGGACGAACTGACTTACAAAGTAACTGATGGTTTGACAGAGTGAGTGAGTGACTGACTATCTTAGGTCATGTTTTACCTTAATTATAGGAGACTCGTGCTTGATAAGTTTGGGAATCCTCTCCAGGGCAAAAAATCCGCTTTCCAACATCTTCTTAGCAGAAGGATATAATTGATAAACAGAGTTTGGTACAAGGTCCCTGAATCTACCACTAGCCGCGTATTTAACTGTAGTGTTACACTCCATAGCAAGAAATGATGTTGTCGGCGCTGGTGACTCGTCCACTAAAATGGGAGGGGAACTATCTGCAAGCAAAATATACAAAATTAGAATTGCACTAATTACAGAAAGTTCATCACTGACAAAAATGGTCGCAGGCCCTCATCTTAATAAAGAAAACCATCCAAACTTACATGCATGAACACAGGCAGTAGCTGGGCAGTCTCTAGCCTCCATGGAGACACCCAGACATTGAGCTGATTCCTCCAAAGACAAACATACTCTACGACGATGTTGTTGTCCTTCTTGACAATATTTTCTCTTGCTACATTCACTCCACAGACCCCACAAACCCCAAACAGCCAAGGGGAGGACTTCTGACGCTTCTGAGAGTTACAAGAATATTTTTCTACAATACAGTGGAGAACTAGCAGACTTCTATTTATTCTATTTATATGATCCCCCTCATAGGCAGGCAATTTACTATTGACCCCCAGCTTTATTCTCTTAGGCTTTTGGCGACGACCGATCCCTCCAATCAGAGTACTGTGGCACCATTGCCTCTTTCAGTTTCATGCACGGCCCACCCACAAATTATAATTTGGTTTTATCAACTGAGTTTTCGGTGTTTGCCTTTCTTCAGAGCGAATAAAGGAATTGTGGATTTTGTGCGGTATATGCACAAAAAGACGGAGCTACGTTATTGGTGGGAAA